ATGTATCTTGTATGTATCTGAATAAATGTACTAATTTCTTTCCAAAACAAAAAAAAACTAAAATCTTACCAAACCCACACTTTTGAACAATGGGGCAGATATTCAGTTTATTAAGCAGATAGATTTAAATGTACAGTTCACCTAACAATTCTGTCATCATTTACACATCATTTGTTTTTCCCAATAGCATTTGGGAAATGCAGCCCTGGTCATTTCTCCTTTTGTGTTTCATGAAAGTAAGAAAGTCATAAGGGTTTGGTAAATTAATCTATGGGTCAACTATTCCTTTGTACTAATCATGAGAGACAGTGGGATAATTGCTTTACAAGACAATCCAGACAGTGTGATTCTGCAGGACTCAAGGGCAAATCGATATGCAGACGGCTCACCAGTAGGGAGTTCCTATGAAGGACTTCCTCTTGGCAACAGAAGCACTGATCTCAGCCGCAACCCCAAAATCAGCTACAGAGAGAGAAAGAAAGAGAGAGAGATACAATAATCCAAAATGTGCAGCTTCAGATGTCTGTCTGACATAAAATCACTTACCCAGCTTAACATCTCCTCGATCAGTAAGAAGAATATTAGCTCCCTATATTAGAAGAGAAAATTCAGCTTTGTCATCACAGAAATACATTTTAAAATATAATAAAAAAACAGTTATTTGAAATTGTAATAGTCTTTCGAAATATTGCTGCTTTTACTGGATTTCTAATCAATAAATGTAGTCTTGGGCACTAGAGACTTCTTCAAATACATAAAAAAAAATCCTAAAGACCCCAAACATTTAAACAGTATTGTCATGAAAAGCCTCATTCACCTTAATGTCTCTATGTATTTTGCCTGTCTCATGGAGATGATTCAACCCCTGGGTAAGACAAGAACAGAAATCTTCTCAAAATGTAGGGATGTGTCATTGAGAAAGATTTATGCCTCCAACGATCTTTTTAAATAATTAATTAGCCTCACCTGGAGTGTTTCCCTGCAGATGTAACCAATCTGTTTTTCCTTTAAAGGTCCAGTTACTGTGAAGGGCATATTATATTAACTTTCACTTAACTGGGGCAGTGGTTAAATGCAAACATTAAACTCTCAAAGGAAAAAAAATCACCTAAAAAATGTGAGATGGAATTGTTGTTAGGAACAGCTTGAAATGTATAGTGGTTTGTGGAAAATATTCCTCTCCTTTTATGCAGTTTTCCCATCCCAGATTTAAAAAGTAATAAAGTCATTTGAGTTTGGAACAATGTGAGGGAAATAAAGAATTGTCTTTTTGAGTGATCTATTACTTTAAGATACTTAAAGGAATAGTTCACCAAAAATGAAAATCTGCATTAAATGTATTCACCCTCAGGCCATCCATGATGTATATGAGTTTGTTTTTTAATGAAACAGATTTGGAGAAATTTAGCATTACATCTCACCGATGGATCCTCTGCGTTGAATGGATGCCATCATAATGAGACTCATATGCTATCTATGGACTTGTGGATTATTGTGATGTTTTTATCAGCGGTTAGAACTCTCATTCTGACGGCACCCATTCACTGCAGAGGACCCATCTGTGAGCAAGTAATTTAACGCTAAATTTCTCCTAATCTGTTCGGATGAACAAACAAACTCCTCTACATGGATGGCCTGAGGGTAATTACATTTTCAGTAAATTCCTTTAAAGGGGTCATATGATGTTGCTAAAAAGAACATTAT